CCTCCCTCCGTCAACCCTCAGTTCCCTGTGGTTAAGAATGGCTTGTCTCCCTCTCTTCTCTCCGCCCACTTCCCACGTGTTCATCTGTTTCGTTTCTTGAATTTCCACACATGAGTGAAATCCTATGGTATTTGTCTTCCTCTGATTGACTTAGCATAATACACTCTAGCTCCATCCACATCATTGCAAATGGGAAGGGGTCATTCTTTTCAATGACTAAGTAATATTCCATCGTATAGATAGATACACCACATCTTCTGTATCCATTCACCAGTTGATGGGCACTTGGGCTCCTTCTATAATTTGGCTACTGTTGATAATGCTGCTGTAAACATCAGGTGCACATACCCCTTCCAATCTGTATTTTTGTATCCTTTGGGTAAATACCTAATAGTACAATTGCTGGATTGTAGGGTCGTTTTATTTTTAGTTTCTTGAGGAAACTCCATACTGTTTTCCAGAGTGGCTGCACCAGTTTGCATTCCCACCAGCAGTGCAAAAGAGATCCTCTTTCTCCGCATCCTCACCAACACCTGCTGTTTCTTGTGTTGTTAATCTTAGCCACTCTGACAGGTATGAGGTATTATCTCATCATGGTTTTGATTTCTATTTCCCTGATGATGAGTGATGTTGAGTATCTTTTCATGTGTCTATTGGCCATCTGGATGTCTTCTTTGGAAAAGTATCTATTCGTGTCTTCAGCCCATTTCTTCACTGGGTTATTTATTTTTTGGGTGTTGAGTTTGAGAAGTTCTTTGTAGATTTTGGATGCCAACCCTTTATCAGATATGTCTTTTGTGAATATATTCTCCCATTCTGTAGGCTGCCTTTTAGTTTTGTTGACTGTTCCTTTGCTGTGCAGAAGCTTTTTATCTTGATGAGGTCCCAATAGTTCATTTTTGCTTTTGTTTCCTTTGCCTCCAGCAACATATCTAGTAAGAAGTTGCTCCGGCCAAGGTCAGAGAGGTTGCTGCCTGTGTTCTCTAGGATTTTGATGGTGTCTTTTCTCACATTTAGATCTTTGATCCATTTTGAGTTTATTTTTGTGTATGGTGTAGGAAAGTGGTCTGGTTCATCCTTCTGCTTGTCGCTGTCCAGTTTTCCCAGCACCACTTGTTAAAGAGACTTTTTTCCATTTTTCCTTCCTGCTTTGTCGAAAATGAGTTGGCCATATAGTTGTGGGTTCATTTCTTAAATTGAGAAAAAGAGCACCTCCTAGAGTTATCTTAAGGATTAAGTGAGTAAAAATAAACGGCTCAGTATAGTGCGTGGTACATACTAAATGATAAATAATAGCAAAGAAAAAAAAAGCATTGGCTTTTCATAACCAGATATTCTGATGCATCGTAAAGTCTTTCACTGTTTGCTGCTTTCTTCTCAGCTTAGTTTTATATTGCTTTGTTTTTTAAGTGGATAAAATGGGGGCAGTGTACCGGAACTACCACTAGATGTCAGTATAGCTCTGACTTTTAGTAACCGTTCAACCTATTTAGGCAGAGAGCGGGATGAATCAAAGAAACCTCCAAATTATAGCTTATAGGTAGTTCCTAATTAAAAGCGCAAAATTCCCGGCCCATATCTGATCAGCAGCCAATAATGAAGGTGGCGCTGCTGCTGCCGCCGCTTCGCTGCATGGAAGGTGAATCAATGCCAGACAAGAACCCCGCCGGATTCTGCTCCCCAAGGGATCATTCCCCACCCCCCACCCCCCGCTCCCGCCAGGCTGGCAATGACACTTTGACCACAACTCTGACAGACCAAACAGCAGTCCTTGAGACATGTAACCCTCCGGAAAGTTCTGAATGTCCCCGGCCCTAACCTGCCCCCCCACCTCCGCCACTGCCATTGCTACTTGTGGTATCCGCCACCATACCCCACCCAAGGGTCCCTGCCAAACGCAACTCCCCGGTGCAGAGAGAACTGTGTAGATAGCGACCCTGGTTGTACTGGCAGGAGACAGGACAGGAGGCTTTCATTGCTAAAACGGCTCCTGACATCCCCAAATAGAACTCAGAACACGCTTTCCACGGGACGCTTAAAAAAACCCTCCCATGTTACATGTTAGGTTCATGCTATAATCCAGTTTTCTGTTCACTCAACAAACATTTAGTGTCCTAAGGGTCCTTTGTTTGGCAGGGATGTGGTAGGTCCTGGAGACAGATGAACGAAGAGACTGGTGAACTCTTGAGCTAGGCTCCCTCTGGGTTTGACCCCGCCTCCCCCGTGTACCAAAGTTGTGACCCCTGGCACGTTCCTTAATGTCATCAGGACTCCGTTTACTCACCCATAAATGGGAGACTGTAATAGTGCCTTCCTCTTAGGCTTAGCACACGGGTGAAATGAGATCATGTTTGTAAAATTCTTAGCTTCATGCTCAGCACACAGTCAAGCATTCTCTGATGACTGCTTGTTGTGATGTCCTTGTCCTCGAGCGGTGTCGTGGAGGAGGCAGGTGGAAAGCAGTACTCGCAGTACAGGATGAGATACAAACTGTTGTGGGAGCATCAGAATGAAATGTAAGGAGGCTTTGGTGAGACCGCAGTTGCCCCCAGAAGTACACCTGCTCGTGTTTTCTTGTTGCTGGTTTTTCAAACGGTGTGTCGGGGGTGGTGGGGAGTCCTCAGGGGGTGTCACTTAGGAGAAACCAGGCTTTGTCTTCAGGCACACATGGTTTGGGACCTTTAGCCTCCCGTTGCTTGGCGGATGACCTTGATCAACCTGTTTGCCTCTCCTGATCTCATAATAATACCTACATCATAGAATTCTGAGGATTAAATGAATAAGTCTGCAAAAGTACCTGACCCCAGTGCCCGGGATGGAGTATTCTCTTCTTCCATCTGGGTTCCAAAAGAATGACAGCCTTTCGGAACTCAACATTTTCTTTCTTTTTTCTTTTTTTAATGTTTGTTTATTTATTTTGAGAGAAGGGAGAACCTGTGTGCACACGTGCATGAGTGGGGGAGGGGTAGAGAGGGAGAAGAGAGAGAATCCTAAGCAGGCTCTGGGCAGGATCTCACGGGGCTCGATCTCACGAACCGAAACTGTGAGATCATGACCTGAGCTGAGATCACGAGTCAGATGCTTACCCAGCTGAGCCACCAGGTGAGCTGGAGCAGAACATTGTCTTAAATTGAGGCCCATCTTTCCTTTAGAAGCCCACCTTTATCACTTCAACCTTATATAATATCTCAGTCTAGGCCAGCAAAGTGTAGCCCAGTAAAGTACTTGGAAAAGCCCAGCGTCTTAAGTCCAGGATCTTTTCTGAGTTGTAAATTTGTTACTACACGTATTGCAGTTATTGAAAACCCTTTGTCTGTAAATTCCTGAATAACACTTACTGATTTTTAGCACATCTGAAAAATAGTGTGCTTAGCTAGAACTAGAATAGATGGTAGCTCTCTCCACCTCAGTCCAAAATTTAAACGCCAAAAGAGCAGAATCTGAATTGAGCCTCCTGAACTACTAAAAGGGGTCATAAATCACTATTAATGTCATTTCCCAGATGCTAGGAGTCATGGGAACTGGTACAAAAACACATAAGCACATTTATGACAAATTTTTATGTAAGGTAATTGGCTTGATGTCGGTCTCAAAGACTAAGAATCATCACAGAATAATTGAGTTTTTGATTCAGAAATGACATCCGTGCACTCTTATTTCATACGTCTTCCTAATTTGCTAATCACACTGCATCAAAATGGCATATATGTGTCATGTCTCATGGATGTATTATACACACAAAAGAAAGGTTATCTGGTCAGTGCTCTCATAAATAAGGAAATATATAATAATTTCCTTGTTTTTGTGATCTCAGAAGTGTCCTAATCACAGCACCCCCAAACCCAGATGTAGTAAATATATTCATTAAAGGTCTGTATTTTAATGGGCTAGTTTATCTCTCAGTTGAATATCCTCTGATTCCAAAAATTGAATTATTCTAGTAGGTGGTACAGATGTTACCCAGACTTGTGAAATGGCCCTCTTTTCTGTAGTCCACATCTGGTTCCCATATGAAAGGAGAGTCAGCGAGGCACTTTGCTTTCAGAAACTCTTCCTCTGCCGTGCCGGCCACACCCCACCCCAGGGCCTTTGCTCTTACTGTCCCCTCATCCTGGACCGGTCTTGGTGCACGTGGTTACAAGGCTCACCTCCTCTTTTCCATCTAGCCTTGGCCCAGATAGAGCCTCAACGAGGCGACCCTGCCTAAAGTTGCCCCCCATCACCTCTCACACACACTCCCTCTCCTCCTCCTCGGATTCCTTTTTTCCTCCCCAGCCCTTATCGCTGTACAACTCACTAAATCGTCTCTTTGTTTATATTGTGTATCGTAAGTACCGCAAGGACACAGATTGCCATCTGTGTGTTCACTGCTGTATCTCCGGCCCAGACGAGCACACCGCCTGTGCTCAAGAGAAATGTGATAAAATCAGTGAATGAAAACGAGCATGAACTTCCTTGTCTGTTCTGTAATCTAAATTATTATCTCCTCCTCCCAGGCATCTTGGTGTATAGAGCGCACAGGATAATCGAGTCTTGTCAAGAAGCATTCATCTTGCGTCTGTTCCGCCAGAAAAACAAGCGTGGTTTTATTAAAGCTTTCACAGACAATGCTGTCGCCTTTGACACTGGTTTTTGTCACGTGGAAAGAGTGATGCGAAATCTTTTCGTAGGGAAGCTGTATCTGTGGCCAAGGTAAATAGCCTTATGTGACAGATTTCTGTGAGAGAATCCACTACGACTTAAGCGTGCACTTGAAAGTGATGTAAAATTTATAGGAATTGCACTTGACATACGATAGCCGGGTCCATACCAAGTGCATCAAATAGAAACATATGGTTACCTCATTTGTGATTATTTTAAAAGGAGAGACGGATTTGATATTTCCTTTTCTGGTAGCCCGTCACATCCATCCAAGGGCAGCCACTTTATTGCTTCTTCTACGTTTAGCGCAACACCCAGGGAATCTAGAGCCTAAGGTATATAACAGGTTTAGGAGAACTAAACTCCCTCTGAAAATTACTCGTCAGGGAATAAGGCACAAAGATTGTTTTATTAATTTTGTTTAACGTTTATTTGTTTTTGAGAGACGGAGCACGAGCAGGGAAGGGGCAGAGAGACGGAGACACAGAATCCGAAGCAGGCTCCAGGCTCCGAGCAGTCAACACAGAGCCTGAGGCGGAGCTCGAACTCATGAACCGTGAGATCGTGACCTGAGCGGAAGTCGGACGCTTAACTGACTGAGCCACTCAGGGGCCCCAAAGCATAAAGATTTTTGAAGAATTCCTGTAAATGTCTAGGAAAACCCGGAAGGTTCCAATGTTCAAACCTCTCGCACCTATGCTGATACGTATTTTGGTTACACTACATGGTATTTGAGAGTAATTGCCAGGGTCTTTTGCCTTTCTTGATTATGCTGTCTCAAGGATAGGCAAGCTTTTTCTGTGAAGGGCCTGATAGTAAATATTTTGGGCTTTGCAGGCCATGTGGTTTGTGACAATGCTTCCAGTCTGCTGTTACATCAGGAAAGCAGCCATAGACAATACATAAACACTGGGCACGGCTGTGTTCCAATAACACTATTTCTAAAAACAGGGAATGAAAAAAAAAAAAACAACAAAAACGGGGCGCCTGGGTGGCTTCACTCGGTTGAGCATCTGACTTTGGCTCAGGTCATGATCTCATGGTTCATGGTTTCCAGCCCCACGTCGGGCTCTGCTGACGGCTCAGAGCCTGGAGCCTGCCTCGGATTCTGTGTCTCCCCCTCTCTCTGCCCCTCCCCTGCTTGTGCTCTGTCTCTCTCTCCCTCTCTCTCAAAAATAAATAAACATTAAAAAAAAAAAAAAACAGGCACTGGTTTGGACCCAGACCATATTTTTGCTGACCCCCCGCCTTATTCAACGAATGCATCCTTTCGTTGAGATTAAAAGTACTTCTGAAAACATTGTCATTTTGCTGTCTGTTTGGTTTGTGTCTTAGTTGCATTTCCAAAAACCCTGAGAGAGCAAAAACTGAGAGCCGTGTTATTTCTGGTCTCGGAGAAAACGTTTGGAAACGATTTGTCTCTTCAGGTTCCATGTAGCAGTAAACTCATTCTTAGAACAGCACAAACCTGAAGTTGTAGAAATTCACGTTTCTATGACGCCTGCCATGCTCGCCATACAGACTGCCATCCTGGACATCCTAAATGCGTGTCTGAAAGAACTGAAATGCCACAACCCATCGCTCGAAGTTGAAGATTTGTCTCTAGAAAATGCTATTGGAAAACCGTTTGACAAGGTACTCTGCCTCTTTTCCTTGTAAGCGCAGTGTGTTAGGTTATAGCTTTAAAGAATCCAAGTTCTTTTGCTAATTGCAGTGTCCTCAATAGGATATTGCTGTTATTTTTTTAAATGTTTTTTTATATGCATTTTTGAGAAAGACAGAGAGACAGAGTGTGAGCAGGGGAGGGGCACAGAGGGAGGGAGACACAGAACCCGAAGCAGGCTCCAGGCTCTGAGCTGTCAGCAAAGAGCCCAGTGCGGGGCTCGAACTCACAAACCGTGAGATCATGACCTGAGCCGAAGTCGGACGCTTAACTGACTGAGCCGCCCAGGCGCCCCAGAAATTGTTGTTATTTTAAAACTAATCTGGAGGTGATTTAAGTACAACCTGTTCAGTTTACTGGAGAGTAATAATTTGTAGTAGAATACATGGATTGACCTGTAAGCACAACTCTTTATTTTTGCAGTTATACAGTGGTTATCTTGTATTTCAAGTATAATTAAGAGAAGGAAAAATAACCTTTTTGCTCTGAAATGGCAGCATTTGGATATCTACAGATAGAAGAGTTTTACATGAGAATGCTTTCATAATTTATGATCTTCTGTTTGGAATAAAAATAACTGGGACGAGTTTTCATTACTGAGGAATGTGAACCTTGCTGTGTCCTAAAATTACGTTTTCAGTTGAGAAAATGTTAAGACTTTTAGTTCAAGGAACTTTTATTCTAACTGATGTTTTCTATTGTAGATGAATATTAATACAGATGCGTAAATGTCTAAAATGGAATTGTAGATCCAGAAAACGCTGACTTTTAAAAAAACTCCTGGCAGCTTTTTTTTTTTTTTCTATATTTTGGTGGAACAAGTTCCTGTCTTTTAAGCTCTGAGTGCATCTGTGTGTCACTGGAAATAATTCACAGTGATTATTTAAAAGGAAAAATTTAACTCCTCATATCTCTGATTCTTCCAGAAAGTGCTTCTATTGAAATAATGATACATAAAACTAATTACATTATGTTTTGTTCCTCTGTTCTTACAGTTTAGTGCATGTGAAGCCACAAAGAAAAACCACAAAAAAAACCCTTCCCATTCTTTTAATAGAATGTGTGCGTCCTTATTAAAAAACAAAATATAACCTGATAGGTTTTGTACTAAGTTTCTGTTTCTCATTCCCTGGTAAAGGTCAAAGTATTATTTTGGGTATTCTTTCAGCAACCAGATGTAAATGCAGACATGACTCTCATCTTGTTAGAAAATTAACATTTGTAAAATTTTTTTATTTTTTATTTATTTAATTTTTTTAACATTTATTTATTTATTTATTTATTTATTTATTTATTTATTTATTTATTTA